TTTCAAAAAATAATTCCAAACAAAGAGTATCACTGACCAATGTACTCAATCATTCCCCTAACCAATAATGTTACATCTGCATCAGGAAATAATAATGTACCCCCTGAATGAGCCTGGTCATCTAACTGCAGAAATAGCCAATTAAAACAATCATTAAGATAATTTCTGTGTGAGGGGCACCCGGGTGGCTCAGTGGTTTAAGCCTCTGACTTCGGCTCAGGTCATGATCCCGGGGTCCTGGGATCGAGCCCCGCATCAGGCTCTCTGCTCAGCAGGGAGCCTGTTTCCCTTCCTCTCTCTCACCTGCCTCTCTGCCTGCTTGTGATCTCTCTCTGTCAAATAAATAAATAAAAATCTTTAAAAAATAATAATAATTTCTGTGTGAAAAAGGAGGGACACAAAATAGTCTCAGTAGTTTAGGAAAGGAGGGAGCGACATTTAATCTGGGTTATAAAGGATAAGTAGAAGGAGTTCAATAGGTATTGGGTCAGGTCTGGGTCCAAGCCCAAAGACTCACGTGGCCAAAGGCTCAGAAGTAAAACTATAGCAAAATCCACAGCTTGAATTTCATTCTGAGGAAGAGGGCCAGAGTTTTCTGCTGGGGAGTGACAGGTCATGCTCACACTCTGGAATGCTCACGCTCTGGCTCCCGGCTAGGAAGGAGAAAAGAATGTGGCAGGACGACACAGACCACAGTCAATGTAGCAGAGACGTCAGAGGAACATCCACACGAGTGCTAGTGGAGAAACTAAGACAGAAGGGAGCCAATTTAGATCATAAGTAGTAAAATCAGCAGGACATGTTGATTAACTAGGCATGGGGCCAAGAAAGGATATAAACTGAAGATGATTCCAGCCTGGCAACTCAGACTGCTGGGTGGTTGGTGAATTATTCACTGCGGTTGAAAATCGAAAACAAATGCTGGTTTGGGCAGAGATTATACACTGAGGTCCTGCTATAAGGTATTTGAGATAATGGGTACACCACCAAAGTAGAGGTTCCCCATAACACATGGGTCTGGTCTTTGAGACACAGGAGAAGACTAGAGATGGAGTTTCAAGAATGATTAATGTACAGATGCCAATTGAAGTTATGGGAGTAGATGGGACCACTCAGCAGGTGAATGCAAAGTGAGCAAAGACAAGCAAAGACAAGGGCCCTAGACATTTGTAGAACCCAAAAACGTAAACATGATCAAAGAATTTCAACCCAAGTAAGATTCACATTTCTAAAGAGGTCTGAATTATTAACATAAAATAGAGCCTCTTCCTGCTAATAAAGTACTTTTTAAAAAATTTTTAAAAGATTTTATTTATCTACTTGACAGAGTTCACAAGTAGGCAGAGAAGCAGGAAGAGAGGGAAGGGGAAGCAGGCCCCTTCCTGAGCAGAGAGCCCTATGCAGGGCTCGATCCCAGGACCCTGAGATCATGACTTGAGCCAAAGGCAGAGGCTTAACCAAGTGAGCCACCCACGTGCCCCAAAAGTACTTCTTTTTTTTTAATACAGTACTTTTTAAAAGTATATAAATTGTAATTTGGTACAGTACCCAGCTGCTTATTTTGATCAGCAATTAATTCAATTAGAAATATAGGTATTATGAATCAAGTTAAACCCAGAAGACATAAAACAATATTAGTGAATTTGCTTGAAATGGGTTTACTTGTTAGCAACACTGCAAATTTTAAGCATTTTTTTTTAAAAGAAGATTTTATTTATTTCAGAGAGAGAGAGCATAGACACACACAGCCATGAGCATGAGGAGGGGCAGAAGAAGAAGCAAACTCCCTGCTGAGCAGGGAGCCCAATGTGGAACTTGATCCCAGGACGCTGAGATCATGACCTGAGCTGAAGGCAAATGCTAAAACGACTGAGCTACCCAGGCACCCCTGAGCATGCTTCTTTAAAAGAAAACTTAGCCCACCCCTCCTCTTTCATTTCAAAATCACGCACGATGCTTCGGTTATATAGAAATCAGACTGGTTTCTATATATATGCCCTCTATCGCATTATATGACACATCATAATAAAGTATCCACAGAGGAATTACAAACCCACTGATGACAAAATACTTTCCAGTATAAGAAACAGTACTGAACATAACAGTGAATATATACATGTATGTGAACACTAGGTATGAAGGATAGATGAACGGTTTAGTGTGTATCCTCCACTCACAAACACAGAGATTACCTCTGCAAAACAGAAACAGGAATGGGGAAGGAAACTGGAGGAAACATTCACCCCTCTTACTTTATTTTCTGTTTAAAAAGTAAATGTGAAAACCAGTAACACTGAAACCAGCCTTATGGGCATGAGGGACATCATACCTCCTAACACCTCAATAGCCTCTCAGACAACTCACTGATGCCACGGCCCCACACATCAAATGCTAAGCTAATGAACCAAAGTTATGTCCCTCCAGGGCAAACCTATTATAGATTTTGTGCTACAAATTCACATCCTCTATGTCAATTTCCAGTCCGAGGGCATTTGCCTCCTGTTCATTACTGTTCATAGTTTGCTTTGTCAGTTTAATTTTGTGCTGCTTTGTAGGAATCCACAATAATTACAATGTTTAATTCTGTACCTGAAGGGTGAGCTAAACAGAGCAGTTTAAATGCATATGTTCTGGCCAATCTTTGACTCCCATCCACCTCTACACACCCTCATCCCCATCACACACACAAGCATGCACTAGTTGGCTTATATGTGGTATCTTTCATCTTAGGAGCTATTTTCCCATTACTTTCTACAGTATATCTGATGATGACATTATTATTGATGCTACAGTAAACAGCTAATATATGTGGTCAAAGTACAAGCACTACAATGAATCAAAATGACATACCCAAACCCACCAAACTCCCTCAACACATTCTAATCAGATAATGTTTGTTTTTTTTTTCCTTGAGTATACTACAAAGGAGGAGGAAACAGCATTGGAGGAAAAAATACTCATTAAAAAAGGGGAAAATAAAAGTAAATGTTTAGCTCATTGAAACTGGAAAGGAAGGTCATCCAGAAGATATATGTAATTTGTTGGTTCTAGATATATTCTTCTTAATTTGAAGTTCCTTGAAACAAATTTCAGTTTCACATGAATAAGATAGATAACATCACCATAAAATAGTCTACTGAGAATTTATCTTGTAGGAAAAAGCATGGCTTTGTTTTCATAATTTGCTTTTCCTTGTTATTAATGATCTTACATAAATCTGGTATCGTTCTGTGACAGAATTTTTGCTTTATAAAATGAGGCAAAAATAATCCAATTATTTTTCACATTTCCTATTTTTATTAGGAAAGTGTTACTTGGAACCTTGTATTTTAGTATTTTTTGTTTTGTGTTCCTTGGGATAGGGTTGCACCCATATTAAAAACAAAACAAAATCCATAAAAAATGTGAATACAATAGGAAACAGAAAGCTACAACTAATCAGAATGTTAGAACAAAAATAAAATTTGGGCTTAGAAGTGAAATTAGACCTCTGGATCCAAATTCCAGGGCTATTCGGTATAGGATGTTTGGCACTTTACTTCCAATTCTGTAGCTCAGTCCCCTGATTGGTAAAATGAGCGCAATTGTAGTAAAGTCCCAAGATTCATGTAAGAGTAAACAGAATAAAATAGTACCTGATACACAGTAGATATCTCATAAATATTAGCTCTTATCAGTAGTACAGATTAGGAAACTGAGGCCCAGAGAGTTTTTGCTTTCTTTGGAATAATTTAACAAGCTAATGGCTTATTAATAGTCATTAGAACTTGGGTCCTCTCGTTAATTTGTATGTTTAGGTTTCTGACTTCTATAAGAAATTATTTTCATAGGAGAAAGAGAGAGAGCAAAACTCCCTCAGAGAAGCACGGCCTAGATGTGAAAAAAAGGAAAAAGGTGTCCACATAGACACACACACAGACACACACACCCCAAAATGAGAAACAAAAAGGATGGGTGGAAGGTTGAGAGCAAGTGACACAGACACAAAACCTCCAATTAGCACTTTTTATTATGATGCAATTCATTACAGCATAATTACATTTCTTATGAAATGATTAATCATAAGGTTAGAAGAAAAGGTGATGTTGAATTGTAATTATACACCCCTTAAAGAATTTCAAAGACATTAACAACGGTACTCTCACAGACTCTGTCAGTTGTCATAAATTACTCTTGGAAGGCAATTCGGTACTATCTTTAAAAATTCAAAATCACGAATCCTTTTACTCATCAGTACAGCTGGGAAGAATTTATCCTATAATTAATTTGTGAAGGTGTGCAGAAATGTGCACAAAAAGATGCTTGGTCCATTACTGACAATACCAAATACTGAAAAAAGGCTAAGGACTCATTAACGAAGAAGTAACAACTGGTGCATTCATGTAAAAGAATCAGTGGGATGACGTCAGAAGTTCCTCTAGACAGGTTCTAAAATGAAAAGGAGAATTTGGGTATATAAGAATAACCCATCTCTGTTTTTCTAAACAAAGAGCATAGATATGTGAATGTGTTAGGAGGAGAAAATCCTGCAAAGACACAAGAAACTAGGTATCTCTGGACAATGGGACTGGGTCAAGAGGACAAAAAGATATGAGTAAACAATTTTTTTTCCTGATACACGGATATTACATATTAATATATATATAGATATCACAGAAATGATATTTTACCATATACATTATTAATTTTTAAATTAAAGGAAAATAAGTTAAAATAAATCAAAGACTGTAAAGAAGCAGAAATAGGCCAATGGGCATAATGGAGGATAAATGAAGAGCAGAGAACTTGAAGGTTTCTTTCTAGAGAGCTGAATATTTTATTTATTTCAGAGAGAGAAAGTGAAAGAGAGAGCCAGAGCATGGACTGAGGAACAGAAAGATGGAGACAAGCAGGCTCCGCACTGAGCTGGGAGCCGAACACAGCGATCGACCTCAAGACCCTGAGATCATGACTTGAGCCAAATGAGCCACCCAGGCGCCCCTGTAGCTGAACATTCTTACCTGACACTTAGCACTACAATATTTTGCAACTCGGCATTGAGAACATCGCATCAGCTTTTCCTTCCTGTTTAAAAAAAATAAAATAAAAATTCACGTTAGGAAATGAGTGAGAACCATATTTGAAGAAAGAAACATAAATCAGCATACTGATGTCAATACGTTGTGCTCACACCATCTGCATGCTCCCAAAAGATCTAGATTTTCATGTTGATGAACATCTTCTTTCCTCTTCAATGTGAGACACGGACATAACAGCTGATGGTCTTTTTTTTATTGTGGTGAATATATATAACATAATATTTACCACTTTAAATATTTTTAAGTATATACTTCAGTGTGTTAAAAAAGAGAACTCAAGGCCCACAGTGGAGTCGCTTTTTCTAAGCCCCTAAACTTAACTACAATGTTGGCGCCCCCAAAAATGAAATCTTAAACCAGTCAATCAGGTATTACTAGTTAGGTAATCTGCTTGGTAGACCCCAGCTTTCCCCTAAGGAAAGTGACGCACTCTTTCACCTAGTATAATTTTCCTGTTCCTACTCTCTTCTGCCTATAGATGTCTTTCATTTTGTACAGCATCTCAGGGCCACTTTCTGTCTGCTACATGAGACGCTGCCCAAACCATGACCCACTGAACAAAGCTAGTAAGATCTTTACACTTTACTCAGTTGAATTTTTTTTGTGTGTTTTTTTTTAAGATTTTATTTCTTTATTTGACAGAGAGAGAGAGATCACAAGTAGGCAGAGAGGCAGGCAGAGAGAGAGAGGGAGAAGCAGGCTCCCTGCTGAGCAGACAGCCTGATGTGGGGCTCGATCCCAGGACCCTGAGCCGAAGGCAGAGGCTTTAACCCACTGAGCCACCCAGGCGCCCTTTGAATTTTGTTTCTTAACAAATGGCATTAAGCACATGCACACTGTTCTGCACCATCACGACCATTAATGTTCGTTCTAATAAAAAAATAAATTAAAATCAAAGATTCCCATTGAGACCAAAAACTTTACTACAGAGAGATTTTAAACTCTCCATATGAAATACAGAATCCAGTCCCATCAACTAGTTGAAGTATTCTACACTCTTCAGATGGAAAAACTGTCTAAGTCTTATCATATAGTTTAATTATGAGTGTACTCCTTCTGGAAAATGATTTTAAAATTTCATTAAATCCAGTTACTACTTTACACATACTGAATTGAGATGCTCAAAAGTTACATCCCCTTAAATCACCTGTATAATAAAAAAGGAAAGATGAAGAACAAGTTGAATTATAAAATAAAAAGAATAAATGTGATGATAAAATTAATAGTGACAAACAAAAGGCAGGAAGCACTGTGGATAAACAGAGGGTACCCAAGAGCCCTAAAAGTCAAAGTGTAATGTTAATATTAATGACAAAACAAGAACAAATTGTTCTAAGCACATCTAATGTGCCGGGTACTCTTCACAGATTTTTACATCTATGATTTACACTTACTTTCAAACAGTCCTAAAAGTAAACAGTCTTATTATGATGACTTTAAGGACACTTCAATTCATTTTCAAGAGATAAAAAGTAAAGAGAAGTGCAAACAAGGTGGCAAGGATTCTGAACGGGAAAGAAGAGAATCCCAAAGATAACTGGAACCTAACCATACCAGGTACTTTGCTTCTGGGACAGCGAGGGTCAGACACAGAACATAAAACGGGGGTGAGGGGCAGGGTGGGGGTAGTTCAAATCTAAGTAAAGCCAAAATGCCTCCCAACCTGAAGTATAGAATTGTAGCTGTCACGTATCAACACCTCAGGCGACAATCCAAATCAAGCAATCTGGCATTCAAGTTCTTGCTTTGACCATCACACCATATTACTGCTCTTGGATAAAACTGGATACAAACAAAATCCACCACGGGACACCAAGGCAGTGAAGCTGGTTAAACAAATGACTCTTGGTTTGGGCTCAGGTTGTGATCTCAAGAGTCGTGCGATCCAGTGCCAGGTCGGACTCTGCACTCAGCACAGAGTCTGCTTCCGATTCTCTCTCTCCATCTGTCCCTCCCACTCATGCTCTCTCTCTCTCTCCCCAAAATAAATAAACCATTTAAAAAAAAAATCCATCCATAAACTGTCTATGTTTATTTTACACACTTCAAACAAAAGGACATACAAAGGAGGATAAAAACAGTGCGCCAGGCAAATATTAAGAGGAAAAAGCCTGTGTAACCACATCAATTTCAGATAAAAAAAGGATTTTATAGTTAAAGATTTTGTTAAGAGATGAATAAGGTCAATCCTCAATGATAAGAGACTCCAATCCCCAGGTGTAGGTACCTAGTGACAAATATAACCTGTCTCAAAATATATAAAGAACAAGTAACAGATCTGAAGGAAGAATGACCAACACAGTAAGTTAATATATGTAAGCCCCTTAAAATAGTGCCTGGAGTACAGTAAGTACCAACAGTACTGGTTATACCTATAGAGAGATATAAAGTTTTTTCAGGAATTCACAGACCAAGCAGATAAAGAATAAGGAGCTCAGTAACTTACTTGATCTCATGCAGTACACAGACCCTTACACCTGATACATGAAGTATACTCAGATACTCCTTTTAAGCACCCACTGATCATTTACAAAAAGTGCCCAGAGGGCACCTGGGTGGCTCAGTGGGTTAAGCCTCTGCCTTCAGCTCAGGTCATGATCTCAGGGTCCTGGGATCTAGCCCCACATCAGGCTCTCTGCTCAGCAGGGTAGCCTGCTTCCCCCCAGCCGCCTGCCTGCTTCTCTGCCTACTTGTGATCTCTCTCTGTGTGTCAAATAGATAAATAAAATCTTTAAAAAAAAAAAAAAAAGTGCCCAGAAAGTAGACCACAGAGTAAATCCCAAAAATCCCAAAGAATCAATACCATATAGATCATTTTTTCTAATCATAAAGGAATTAAGTTAGAAATGAGTAACAAATATAGAGAAATATAGAGAAATATAGAGAAATACACGCATGAAAATATAAAAGCATGTTTTTATGGAATTTAAGGATCAAATAAGAATGATCATAAAATTAGAAAATATGTATTTTTTGTTAAATAGGCTCCACATACAACATGGAGAACAAACTCACAGTCCTAAGATCAAGAGTCTTACCTTCTACTAACTGAGCCATCCAGGTGTCCCAAAAATATGAGATTAAATAATGAAAAGAAATATCAAAACTTATGAGATAAAGCAAACATCATACTTACAGAGACATTTGTAACTTCAAATGGTTATCTTAAAAAGAAATGCTCAGCACGATCTCTCTCCCTCTCCTTCTACTCCTCCCCCACCCCTTCCTCTCTCAAATAAATAAATAAATCTTTTTAAAAGAAGAACAAAACCTGAAAATCAATGAGCTAAACATGCAAAAAAGGAATTTAAATGTAAAAACTGCAGAAAAGGAAGGAAAGGAAATTATACAAATCCACAAAACGAAATAGAACACAATGACATAACAGAAAGGACAGACAACATGAACAAATGTCTTGCAAGATTACATAAAGGAAGATTAATAACAAAATGGAATAAATTACAAAATAAATAACAAAACTCAAGATTCAGGAGACTGAAAAAGAAACGAGAGAATTCTGACAAAATGGCAGCAGTGGTAGAATTTTCGAATCTCCTTAACTCTCCCCATAAAAAAATGACAGTGCAAGTAAGACAGCAAACATGAGTATCACTCTCCATCCTCAGAAACACCCCCAACAAACCCAAACTAAGAACGTGCAGGGGAAACCACTACCAGATCTGAGACTTAAATCAATATATTGGGGGTGGGGTGCAGCTGGGTTCCCAATAACCGTGAAAATAAAAGAAGCCCCAATGTGCCAAAAGATACCCAGTGTGTCCAGCCCACCTGAGAACAGGTAGCCAAAAGAGGGGAGAGGATGCTTTGGACAGGAACGTTCCTGATGAATCACTGGGGTCCCCCAGAATGCCGTCTTCCTCAGACCTGATTCCTCAGATTTTCCCTCATCTCCCTCTTTCTGGTTTTAGTTATTCAGAGGCAATTTCTTTTGCAAATTAAAAGCCCCAGACGTATGAAGTGTTTCTTCTCGAATTTAAAAATTAATGAGTAGAATCAAGATACCTCAGAAGGTCAGTGAACAAGTTAGCACATCAAACTGTATCCTCTCCCTCCCATAGCTACCAACTCAGAGCTTTAATGAATTTTAACACAGAATGTCAGCACAGTAAATACCAAAATTAGTCTAAGTACCTAAATAATTTAATCATTGTTTTGATGTGTGAAGGAACTCCTTAACGTGAGTTATTTAAATGTTCTGAGTTACTTTTACATATCAAAGAACTAAACAAATTTAAGTTCTCAAGTTTCAAAAAAAAAAAAAGGTCAACTGAATCCAAGAAAAAAGTTGTGTGTGTTTGATCAGAAACCCACTGAGCCTTGGTAAAGATACTGCTTCTCCCTCAGGGATAAGGTTCGGAGCAGAGCATGCCATGAAGCAAATTCTAGCACTGCAAAGGAGAATGAGTTAAATGAATTTCCTTCCAATACTCAAAATTATTTGGTTCTGCTTCTCTTGTACACCCAACAAATATAAACCATATTTGAAGATGACAAAAGTTGTGCACAGTCTAAGGCAAATTACAGTGGTCTCTGAGGCACAGAGAAGTAATGAATACAGAATTTTCAGATTGCAGAAACATCCTGCCTGCAAAATGATTAGCTCAAAGTCCAAATGGACTTTGTGAACAAAAAGCAATCTGCCTGTTACCACCACTCATTCTTTCCTCTCTCAAATAAATAAATTAAATCTTAAAAAAAAAGAAAAGAAAAGCAATATAAGGAAGTAGGTTAGCAGTGTATCAGTAAGAGGAAATGATTAGTTTTTTTTAACCTCTTTCGCCCTCTCCTTATAAGAGATAAATAGTATTCTACCCCCAAAAAGGAGAAAATATTAAAAGTATTTTACACCTAAATCAGAGTTATCTTTAGCTCTACCCACCAAAACAGCAAAAAAGAATGCACTATCACTTATTCATGCAAACTGTGATATGCTATAGAACAGTGTCAAATCACAAAAAATTCTTA